CAAACAGGATGGTCACCTTGCACCTCTCAAACCAGAGCTTGTGTACAGTATGCTCAGTGGTATATATTCTATACTATAAATATGGAGAAAGGTAATTTAAGGTGTTAGTCAAGTGCAAAGAGACCACCCAGTGCGAGCCACACTGACAGTCGTCTGATTGTCTATCCAACAGACATAGTGTGCATTCCCAGCCTGACGCAAACTGCTTAAGCAGCACACACAACCAAACACATGCTCTTATGGATGGAACCACGAGATATGCACTGAGGCCATTGTTGGCTCACTGGTGATGTGATATCTACTGCATCTCATTAATTTTTCCATTTATACTGTCTGCAGCCAATTATCTATATTCAGTGTAATGGAAATCATATGTCTGTAGAATTCTCAAGTTCTTAAACAAGACTTGCTCATGTTTGTATGAAACAATTGCTCACAGTGAACCAGCTGACTATAGCTGTTTACTGTAAGAGCAGGCTTTAGAGAGTACTTTAAAGTTCAATTTTGATGTAATATGAAAACTATGTATCAAATTAAAGCAGTCACAAAGTCTAGAAAGGTAAATGTTAACCAGGAAATGTATTAGGCAGTCACATTATTTCCTTCATATAAATCACTTGGATAAATATTATTTTCACTTAGTTTACATTATTTTACAATGGGTTATTCTCGTGAGACACCCAGGGCGACTCACCTGCTGAAGGGCTGCCTTTATCTAATTTTCAAGAGATAACTTGAGATTCAGTGTATAGTTTTAACAAATCCACAATTTGTTAAAATGATTAACTGAATTGATGAAACGATTAAAAGATGAACAACACTGTCAGTGTGTGTTCTTAGCTCAGAACAGTAAAGGAAACATTTTCAAACACTGAATAGGGATGTAATAACAAACGAAATATCATGATATCGTATTGTCAAAAGTCTCAGAAGAATACTGTGGGCCATCACAATATATCGATTTACAAGTTTCGTTGTTTAAATTAATTGTTATGGTGCAGCAACAATTTAAAAAACAGAGATATATACATATACCATACATATAACTACGTATATCATGACGTGATTAAATAACTGTTATTACACACTTTTAAATTTTAATAATCTGAATTATGAAAGAAAAGTAGCATATTCACACTTTTAGCCTCCACAAAATATTGCAGTAAATATCGTATTGAGAGATATGGTTCCATCCCTATCATTGAATGTAAACCTGTTATATGTACATTATATGCGAGTTGTCATCCAGCAAACCCTGTCAGCTTGTGTTTGATTGCACGACTGACCCGCTAAAGGGCTGCCTAACATTCCCTTTAGGGGCTGAAACTGGAGATGACAGCCTGTCACTCACCCGGGGCCCCCTGCCAGCTCGTTTGTGTTCCCTCTGCCCCAATTAGCACCTGGCCTCTGCTTCACATGTCACCAGCAACAGCCCCAGCCAATTACACAGGCCCTGAATGTAGAGACAGCCCTGACCCATCACCTGTGTGCTACAAGAGTCGGCAGATAACTCCAGCAGGGCCTAAATCTCTGGCTTTACTGTCACTGGGGCTCCATACAGACTTAGAGGTGCTGCAGAGCCCACAGGGAGATATGAGTCAGACCTTGAACTTGATGTGTTTACTAGACACTCGGGAATGGCTTCAGGAAAACTGTGTTAAAACTTCAACCTGCCAGGATCAAGTGCAGGTTAAAGGGCCCTGCTGTGCTGTAAGGTGTTTTATAAGTGTCAGAAAGGTGACGAGGTGATTTTGCTTTTGAAGATTTTTTTCTATAATTATATTTCAATTTAAACAGTAAGAGATATTTAAACTTTAAATGACACGTTACTTTCTCCAACATCATCACCATTAAAGGTGCATTGTGTAACATTTCTGCTGGGGGGTCACTCAAATGCTTTTCTGCAGGGAGATGTTATTTCTTTGTCTGGAATGTCAGATCAGTGGAGAGGCGATCCCGCTCAGTCAATACAGACACAGCCATAGAAACAAGCAGGTGACGAGTTACATAGTGAACCTTTAATAATGCCTTAGTATGCTGTATAGGAAATATTTGCACTGAGAGAACTCCATAACATCACTTGGTCAGAAGTGCAATCATATGTACATGTAACAGTAAGGTTGATTTTCTATTCAGTAAAGTCACCTTGGCTACAGAGCTGCTCATTGATCTTAGTGAGTTCCTTGATTTGAATGAACATATTTACATTTGGCCTTGAGTATCCTTGAATTGATCTAAGTGTTTGCCAATACATTTTTTGTTCAATAAGTTGCTCTGGAAGAATAACAGAATTAAAACTAAGGTCATTCCCAAAGGACAATGGAGAAATGAGACTGTCATCAAAACACAAGGACAAGCCACTCAAAGCAAAAAACTGTTAAAGGTCCAATATTACAGTTGACTCTTGTAAGCTTTGCCATGTTAGAACATTGTAGGAGAACACAACTGCAGTAATGTTTGTGATGAGGAAATGACATTATAATCAGAAAATAGCGTATATGTGTCCTTTAAGAATTAGTTCAGATATTTATAATTCTTCAAGTTTACAGAGAGAGACATAAAGATGGAAATGGTATATTTTACCCTTGTCTGACGGGGATTTAGCTACTTGACCTGACAGACATGTGCTTTTCTCTGTCAAGAATCTCAATAATCACACACAATCACTGATTTCACCTCACACCATGCATTATGTTCTTTACTGAAGCATGCACTCTAAACCCTTTCCCTTCTTTCTTTAGTTATATGGTTAGGTTTGTTGATAGTTATATTTTTTTCACTATCTGGCCTAATTTGTAGCCTCCATCATCAAGCCTTTACACTTAGATGCTCAGCATAATAACTTTCATTTAAAGTGATGTGTTTTTTCCATGATAATTAAATGTGCTCCTCCCAAAAATGGAAAAATTGGGGCAGCTAGTCATCTAACCTTGTACAATTCACAGAGCCAAGGATAGAAAGAAAACCACATGGCACTGGGGGTGACTCAGCGTAAAAAGGTTACCGCTAAAATGCAATCAAGTGAAGGAATGCACAGCATACAGTATGCCCTCAATGGGCCTGCAGCGTCAGACATGGACAGACTCAGCAGTAGCAGCAGCAGCAGGATATTATAAGTGTGTTGTGAATGCTAGGATTGTTACAGTGGAGGCAATGAAGCATGAACAGGGTCGACCATAGCATGTAGAAGCACTGGGATCTTCTGTATCTGCTCCCTCATGTCTGCTTGTTCATCTGGGCACCTGGTCTTTCTAAATGAAGCCCTTGTGGCTCATTGTACTGTCAGGCAGGCCTCATTACAGAGCACATATCAAATGAATCAATCAGCTCCTATAAAGGTTATCTCATCTGGGGTCTTAACCGGACTGCACTGAGGATACTTAGAGGAGCACTGACTTAAATAAACTTTCATTGTTTGACACGCACTGTACTTATTGTATACTGCAGTCGTCAGTGCTGTTAGTGCTGGAGGATTGCCAGAGCACCAAAGCGGGGGGGAGAGAGAGAGAGAGAGAGAGAGAGAGAGAGAGAGAGAGAGAGAGAGAGAGAGAGAGCGAGAGAGAGAGAGAGAGAGAGAGAGAGAGAGAGAGAGAGAGAGAGAGAGAGAGAGAGAGAGAGAGAGAGAGAGAGAGAGAGAGAGAGAGAGAGAGCGAGAGCGAGAGAATACACAGCACTGATGAGGTTAAATGATCCTGATCATAAACACTCACTAAGGACGACACCACATAACGCAGGCCTGCTGTATCAGTGTCACGTGTTTTACTAAAATTTAATATAGTTACTTGTAACAATATTAAAGGAAGACTTAAAGGACATAATAGCCCTTTTTGAGGTATTTTATTTTAAATTGTAATGTAATTCATTATATTTATAAATGTATTTAACATTTTGCTCATTATAAATCACAATGTTCAGTCTATAACAGCTTAATAATCTAAACAGGCTCATGGACTTGTCATTGTCACAAGACGATACAGGATGTATGAAACACTCTGTGTAAGCTAAGGACGAGGAAACACTTTTCCATAAAAGACCAATAAACTGTCAATTTTACATATTTCCCCTTTTTTTTTTCTCTGTTGAGGTTAATATTTACAATTTGAATATTTATTATGTGGTTTGAATTGTGGTCTGGCAACATTTATGTCTAGTAAGCAATGTAAGAAAACAAAGAATGCAACTTCAGTATGGGTTTGTGTTTCTGTGATCAGCAGTATGACAGAATCAGAACAGATGGTTTCAATGTAAAGCATATTGCTCTATATTGCTATAGTGAACATATTTTGGTGTGAACAAAATACCCTGTAAGCCACCTAACCACCTGCGCTTCACTCCTCTATGGAATACGAAATAGAAAACAAAGTCTCCCTCCCTCTCTTATCTCTGCTGTTATAGTCATAATATATTATAGTGAGACATTAGTACAATTTATTTGATTTACTTAAAGACAAAACAAAATGTTAGTTCAGCCTCCCAAAGCAGGAGGTCAACATGCACACTGAAACAGGCATGTGCACCACCATACAAAGCATCAAACTTTCATCAAATCACCTCTGTCTGAGAAATTAAATAAAACAAGAGGATCTAAAACTGAAGCTGCTACAATACCCGCACGTCCGCCTTGTGCTGCACCATCATTAAAGTTTAACCAGGGCAGAGGTGGGCTTCTGCTCAGAAGCACCACACACTACAACTGTGATTTGACTTTTTGTAATAAAACAACAGCATAAGAGAATACACGGGGTTGATTAGAAACAACTGTCAGCACATATGATTTTTTTATGCATGTCGAAAAATGTTTAATCTTACCATATTTTCTTAAGATATGCAAATTGTGTGGGATTCTCTAATTATGTAGAATTGAGTTAGTCCTGATTACTCAACATTTGTTTGACATTGAAATGCAAACCATGTGGTATGGAATCAACGCACTTCCATAGACTTAAGACTTGCATATATATTTTAGGGAGAACAGATGTGACTATTTGGTGACGTCTTACCTTCAAAGGAAAGGAAGACTCTGGGCTGAGGCTGTAGGAGGCTGGACCCCCCAGACAACACACAGAATAGAGCCAGGAGGGAGAGCGTCATGGTGGACCCCTCCGGCCTACCCATAATGCACTGCCACGGACCACAGTCAGTCAGGGCTGGAAGAGAGATGAAAAAATACACAATAAGAAACAAACACTTTTGAATAAAACATTTAGCATAGACACACATACATCTAATAATTAAAATATCTCAAAATCTTTTTAGGTAAGTGAGTATACAAAAAACAACAGTGATTAATTTATGAATTAATTAAATGGATAATAATAATACCTAAAACACACCAGAATCTGAAGAAAAAGACAAAAAACAACTTTGCATCATCACCATGATTCTTAACAACTTTGCAAGTTGCAGTTTTGTTTGGAAACACATGAGGTCAGATAAGAATGGGCAGACTGGTTCATGTAGTATTGTCCACTGAGATTGTATTTTATTTGTAGATCAATTCAAGCGAGTCATGACACAGATGGCAGACTAACATGTCATGTACACACTTCACTTCCACAGCCCCTGCAGAAGTATGCCTCTCAATAATAAATGAGTTAAATCTGTACAAAAGAGCAACAGAACAAACTGTGGCTGCACCTCCTCTTGTTCTCTCCATAACAGGACATGAGCAGCTCAATAATTGATAGAGGCAGGTAGAGCGCTGGACCACTGCACATGCTTACACAAAAGTAAAAAAAAAACAACAACAAAAAGTACTACCAAAATGCTGTGTATGTAAGTGTGTTTTGTGGTAAATATTTCTGGAGGTATATGGCTTACTACTATGTGTATTTTATATAAGTGAAACCAATTCTTGCTCAGTTTAAAGTGTATAGTTCTTGCCAATACAGTATTTTGATAGATGAGGGGAATGGTCTGTTTGGGTGTCTGGCACAAATGGCCTGTATCAGAGAGTGCAAAGTTTCACTACACAGCTGTAGCACAGTTTTACAGCTCAGGTGCAGACCACATATGTTGAAACTGCAAAGAGAAGGAGATCTTTGTTGCTTGTGAGAAAAGTAAAAAGTTAAAACGCTCTTTTAGCCCTCATCTGTTCTATTGGATGTCTCTCTCACAATTCTCCAGGTCCCGGTGCACCTCAGGGTGTCTCGTGGAAGCCTCAGCCCCCCTGACCCTGTCCTGACACATGGGTCCAACTCTGGCTTCTGTCCACATTCTCACAGGGTTGGTTTTCAAATGGCATCCTTAACAGACATCCCATAGAAGTACTTTTGGCTTTTTTTTATTTATTTAAGTAGTAGAACATTTGTACTACAGATATCAATCACATTTTCAGCACAGTCATTGTCCACCATCTCTTTTGGAACAAGTATGAATACAAATACAATTCTTTCAACTTCAGTGTCTTAGTGGGGATGTCACATTATACAGCATGAAGTTCTGTTGCTTTTTTTTGGAAAATTTAGAAGCAATCCAGAGAACCTGTTATTATACAGTGTTTATTGTGTCACATATTTGCCAACTTTTTGTTTTAAAGTAAAGAATTTGTAGTTTTTTTCAGACAATTTAAGTATTTGGAGTTTATGCCGAGAACAGACGGGCCGAGCTCCACTCTAGACCTAATACTGCCTTGTAGGGTGAGGCACTTGTTTCCTATGACAGAAGCCAGCTCCTCATCTGGCATATTAAATGTGTCTATAATAATCAGCTATACTATTAATACAATATTATTAAAAAAAAGTAAATAAATACACAAATTAGCATCACAGAAGAGGCTAAAAGAGGTAGCCGGTAGCACTGCAGTTACAGCTGTGGAAATCATTATCAGGGGAGTTCTCCGAAGCATCAGGTCATGTTTCTAAACTGCTTTTACACTTTTGTGAATTTGGCTCACTGACACATCTCTGCATAAATGACCTCACCACTATTGCTTCAAAATGCCTCAAGTACTATTGTTTCTGTTAAAAGAGAAATAATAAATCAATACATAATGAAGAAAACACACCACCGCCAGTAATCTGCAGTGTTAATGAGCATTTTGAGAAAGCTGATCAGCCAGAGTGTTAGAAAAAACATGCAATGAATAAAACTTCTGCAGAGGTTTAACCCAAAATTACAGGTTGCCTATAAATAAATCTTCTTTCCCCGATGATTATGAACTGTTGACTCATTTACAAATATGACGAAAAAGCTTCACCTCACAAGACTGCATGTGTTCTCACATCTCCCTGTCATTCACTTGTCATGGGCTGTTACAGACACTATTCCCCTCACACGCACAACATAATCAGGCTTGCATAGAAGTGCAATGTGTTCATCTGTGAATTCAAGCTATTGACTTACACTGCAAACAGGAATCTTGTGATCACAACTATTGACACCTTGTGATTCATTTCTCCACTGTATCACTATGACAATCTTCTGGGGTTAATATTATAAACACACTGACAAAATGCTTATTTAAAGGTCCACACTGTAACTTTTTGATAAGGGGTCTGTCACCTTCTTGTTTCAATGGAAATGTCATTGCTCTACTTGGAATGTTCCAGAGTATAACATTAAACAGCTCTACCTTACATGTATTCAATTACTCAAATATACTTAGAAAAATAGGCATTCTGATAGTGAGCGGTGTTGCCACTCCACAGATCTGACTTTTATCTTGGCCTGGTCTCCATCACGATAGAAGGGTTTAATGTGAAACATTCCAGACAAAGCGATAATACCTCTATGGAGAAAAGCAGGTGGCGAACCTTCCACCAGAGAAAGTTACACAATGCACCTTTAGCTATAAAAGTCTAACAGTCTTTTTTTTTTTGGCACTTTTTCTTAAATCTTTTGCTACTAGTGCACCTGTCAAATACCCAACATGTGTTCTAAGCCTGCTGCTGTCACTGGAAAATGATCAATATAGGCACACTCTCCCAAACAAGACTTACCGATAAAGAAATTCCTTCTCACTGCAGAATCGTGAGTGCATCAACGCAACTCTGGCTGTGTTATTCCTAAATGGGATCGTCCCGTTTCTAGATAAAGAAAAAAAAATTCTTCAGCTAGTCCATCTGAGTGCTTTGGGGAGCAGACAGGACTGAGTGAGAGCACAGAGAAGTGCATTGAGAAGGCGGGTGTCCTATTACACACACACATACACGCACGCACACTCCTACTCCTCCTCCTCCCATCTCCCTCCCACCCGCTGTTAACTAGACAGCGACTGGATGGCTTTAACATGTACGGCCTTAAACATCAGAGGGGAGATTCACACTGAGGCACAAGGCTGGTCCCATAGGTCAGGCACATTCAGGCCTGACCCCATGCTCTTTGAATGTGATCAAATAGACACGTGTGGAGACCTCCTCACTGTTACAGGACCGGATTTCCAGGAGGGAAAGACTTTAAAGACAAAAGGAGAGAAAGTACAGCAGGGATATGGTAAAAGACTTAAGACGCCAGGTCCTTACAGCTGGGGCAGAGATGAGTCATAGTAATATGTATATCAGAGAAAAAATATGCAGTTAGTCATTATGGGAGTTACATTTGATTATTTTAAGTGCATAGAAAGTAGTGGTGGAACATAACTAACTAAAGGAAGAAAAGTAATGTAGTCAGTAAAAATTGTAGGTATCTATATTAATCATTTGAAGCGTCATTAGATCTCAAACTCTGTGCAAAACACTTTTACTGTTATATTTTTAAACAGATCCTTTAATACTTTTATTTATTAATTTTTTTATGGAACACTTTTACTAGAGCATTTTTTTTTTTTTTTTTACTTAAGCAACAAAATTGAGTACTTCATGGCTGACTATAGTGAAACAAACAGGGGGGAAGGTGTGGGTGTTATTGCAAAATTTATGTCACACTTTTCTAAGAGCCATCATAATTTTGAGTTAATCATGATTCATATATACTAGCTATTGCCTAAAAGTCATCAGTTACTTTTAAATGTTCATACACTGTGGTTATGAGCATGACAGGAACTGACCAATATTAGATGTGGGTGGGAAAAAACTGAATTACACACAAAAAAGCATTACATTTTTTCACCATATTGCCCAGCTCTACAACACAAATACAAGACAATTGAGAAAAATATTGAAAATGCAATTATATGATTTTTTTTAAATTTAAGTGGACAGTATAAACTCTCGTACTAAGCAATTTTGAGAAATAAAAGTAGTAGTCTGCATTTTTCTCAATTATGTTACTGATTTCAAAATAATGACACAAATATGAACAGCTTTACTTTTGGCCTGCACTGACTCACTTCCTGAAAACGCTGAAAAATAAAGGAAATTCCCTGTATTATTGGTGAACTGTATGTATGGTAATAGCTAGGGTTGCTCCAATACGATATTGGTATCGGATATCGATGCCAATACTTGACATTTAGAAGAATCGGATTTCCAAGATATCAGTTCAGTCAATATCTCATTTTGGTCTATAAATTAGTGTAATGTGTTGATTTACTGTCCGTTGCTGGCCCAACATTGTTGAACTTATATTTATTCAAAGCTGTTCCTTAGATACTTTAAATTAAAAAATAGCAGTTACAAAACAGATTTAGATAATATTTAACCATATGGCATTTGTGTTCAAAGAAAATAAATCTCTGCTCGATATTGGCTTATATCGGCGATTGACAGATACTTAAAGCCAAAGTTCTGACATCGGTATTGAAACAGAAAAAGCTGCATCCCTAGTAACAACTCCAGAACCAACCCCTATACACAAACAGATTATGGCAAATTCGTTTAAGTAGATTAGTAGTTGAATTTGTCCAAGAAAAGATTCACTGTTGCTCACACACAATTGCCTTTATAGTAGTAAAGACTCTTGCCAAACCAGTGATTGATCTGGTCATTAGGATGAAAGTGGACCATAGTAATAATATACAACATGCTTCAATCAACGTACTCGGCTCAAGATACACCCGGTAAGTGAAGCATGCATCATTTTAACCACAAGAACGTGACCCTGACAGAAGGCAAACAAACTGTTAATTGAATAGGATACATTCAGTGGAAAAGACTTATTCAGCAGAGAGCTAATGTATCCACCGTGTAAGAAATGCAACAGCTCGAAAGAGGCCAAACCAAAACTGTTGGCAAGACAAAAACATCCTCTGTTAGCCACACTAGCAACATCAACTCAACTTTTTCCATTTGAGAATATCATGTTCAGAATATATATGCAATTTGAGTGCGGTGTAACAGTTTATGGAGTCTTTAAATATCCTATATTACACAAAATTGACTCCCATGAGCTTTAAGCCATGTTATAATGTGGTTACCTCTTCAAAAACAGTTGTGTTTTGTTTCATTCACACATTTTTGAGTAATCCTTTATTATTAGTCTGTCTACATTTCCAACGCTCCAAATGCTCCGTTCCACCTTGTGATATCATGTAAAGGTATTTTTTAAGTTAACAGCTTCTTTTACCTTAAGCTCAGCAGACATGGGCAATACCAGGGTCACTCCTAATGATTCTAGTGAAGGTGTATGGAGTTCAAAAACCTAGTGGAGTGCTTTCTGTATTGCCACATGACATCACAAGGTGGAACAGCGTGTTTTCAGTTTGAGAGAAGAACTCATCCTAGTCTGTGTTAAAGATGTGTGAATGAAACAAAACACAATTCCATTTTTTTTGACAAAGAAACAACATTATAATAGATCAGAAAATGTGGTAATATACTGTAGGTCCTTTAATATGCACAACATATGAGATGGAAGTAAGTGTGTACATGTGAGGGTTATATGCTGCTTAAATTAGCTAAAAATAGAATTAAGTAAGGCCTCATGGAGCTTCAGACAGGAGGAAATAATTACTTTCCCCCTGACAATGCACTGTGATTTACAACTCAACAATTAAAGTGCCACCGCTACAATACAGGAAGAATGGGATTGGTGGAGACAGAGTAGAGCTGGTGACATATGAACAGATGAGATACTACGAAGATATGAAGATGTAGATGCTATCCATGGCATGGGCAATAATTAAATGTGAAATGATTATAAGCTATGCAACTTTTCTATCATTATTATCTGCATTTTCAATTCAAATTAGTTTTAAAATTGACTAATAGAGGTCACGAGTGCCTTAAATGTCCAGGGTTTGTGGTGTTTCCTGACACAGAAGAGTACAATGTTGGAGCTTTGGGTTTCAACTTGGTTTCTCTGACAATAAAGTAAAGCTACCATTTGTAGATTATTATATATATATATTTTTTCATAAGTATATAGGATATGGGGAGCTATTTTTCACTGAAGTCTGTAGCAAAATGTTCAGGTTTTAAATAATAAAAAAAAGTTAAAAGGTAAAAATGAGACATGTCTCTCAGTAAATAAATACAAATATTTCAAAATTGAGAGATGCTGGGAGGGGGATGTTGCATGCATCAGAAGCCTGTTATTGTCCCAGTAGCTGGCACCACTCGCTGGCAGATGGAGGTGCTATTAGCAAAGTCACCACTACACCTGCTCCTGCTAAGTACAGAAAATGCCATCATCACTTCATTCCTCATAGCCATTAGTGTGCTAGACAGACTGCACTGTCTGATCAATAGGGGTTGGAGCCTTGTATTTGCTGTAAAATAAAGAAAAATCGAGCAGAGAAGTGAATAAGGCGGTTGTTAATTAGCTGCCAGACACCTTTAGGAAGATCTGAAACATACTAAATATAAGAAGACAGGGTCCCTCACCTTCAACAGCTTGCTATAGGAGATTTATCAAAAGTTTAACAACCTTGGCAAAAAAAGTGAAGAATTTTTTCCGTGTCACGCTTTATGTCAAAACACATTGAGAGAAACGTCTTCACCGTCTGGAATCCATACATTAGTGTAGGAGCGAGGAGTCGGTGCTGAGGCGAGCAGGGGAGAAACTGACTTTGGCTGGAAAGTTAGATGATGTGCGTCTCTTTATGTGGGTCATTTACATATTAGAAAGACTTCAGGACCAGTCACGCCATCAGAGCAACACGCAGGCCTGGGATTGATCGTGCACACATCAGGTCAGCGGAAATATGTCATGTGAAGTGGAATGTGGCGTGAAAATATGTTATTTTTTTAAAAGAAAGGTATGGAATAACTTTATGAAATCCAACTCCAAATGTAATTTACTCAGACAGATGCCTGCATTTTAAAGAGACCAAAAATCATCTGTTCCCCAAAAAGGCAGAAACAATAGACTTTTTTTTCTTTTTTTATTAAAGTTTTTAGAGTCATGGGACCAAACATTATTGTGTAAGGTCAAATTAAATACATAGAAACAAGTTTGGTATATATCCTGTTCATGTTCCAAGAGAACTGATATGAGCCCTTATACTTTTTTTGTCCAGCTTCTGATAAAAGTGAACTATAAATCACATGGACATGTAACACAGTAATGGAAATCTGTAACCCACATATTTTTATTAAAATCAACCATTCTGAGAAGAATGTGGACCAGTTTGTACTCCAAACCCACCAATAGGAACTTTATATGAATTCCGCCTGGACTTTTTTGCCTCATTACAATTCCCTAAATCTCATGTTTAGTGGGATGCTTCAGTTTTGTCATAGGAATTGCCAAGACCCTACAAAAAATCAATCTAATCTCAATCTGTCTCTCACGCCATACCCAAGGGTCACCTGTTATACCTATTCTTTTATTTACCCCAAAAAATGTGACATTTGAAATCTGACTTTCCTTGTGTAGCACTTGTTCCCAAGTCAAACTGGATACAGAGCACAGAGAACAGCAGAGCGCAAAACTACAGAGCTTCAGCTTCACAAAGAGTCCAGCCATTTGTCTGTGCTCCAAAAGGTTCAGAAACAGATTAAATTTGAATGAACGGTCATCTTAGTCAGGCATTTTAGGAAAAATAGGCTGAAAAAATAAGGGGACATACTATGTTGGAAGGTAACTAAATATTGAGAATACGCATTCTGAATAGTAATGAGTAACTCTATTCTGGTCATTCGGTGGTATTCAGAAAACAGTTTTCTAAAATCAGAGGAATACATCATGGTGTTTAATCATACAATTTATACTTCAAACTGCTAATCAGCGAGAAAAATAGACAACTCAGCGCTTGTGGTGAGTGCATGTGTGATTTTTTCATCTCTAATGAGTAATGCTC